ACGCATTAAATCGCACTTGATAAATCGCCATAAACATCGACGCCCTTAAACAATCTATACGTCGTTTATCCTACATCTTTTTGTTCTTTCACGCTTTTGCCAGCCAGTAATCGTTTGTGACTGTTTATAGGGTGTCTCGCAATTAGTGTAGGTCCCTGAGGGTAGCAGACGTGATTCTGAATAAGATTTTCCTTTGCGAAAATGGGGTTCGAAGCTTTGTCTTGGAATTATTGAGGAAAAATACGGTATAATCGGAGCGCAAGGATTACCACGCGCTGGATTATTACGTGTTGGTTAACTACGCGTTAGATAACCACGCGCTGAATTACTACGCGTTGGATATCCACGCGCTGAATTACTGCGCGTAGAATTACCACGCGTTGCATTACTACGCGCTGAATATCCACGCGCTGAATTACTACGCGTTGGATATCCACACGCTGGATTACTACGCGGTGGATTACCACGCGTTAGATTACCACGCGTTAGATTCCTTCGCGTAGAATTACCACGCGTTGCATTACTACGCGTTGGACTACTGCGCGTTGAATATCCACGTGCTGGATTACTACGCGTTGAATATCCACACACTGGATTACTACGCGTTAGATTACCCAGNCGCTGGATTACTACGCGTTGGATATCCACACGCTGGATTACTACGCGGTGGATTACTACGCGTTGGATTACCATGCGTTAGATTCCTACGCGTACAATTACCACGCGTGGCATTACTACGCGTTGGATTACTCCTCATTGAATATTCACGCGCTGGATTACTACGCGTTGGATATCCACACGTTGGATTACTACGCGTTGAATTACTACGCGTTAGATTCCTACGCGTAGAATTACCACGCGTTGCATTACTACGCGTTGGATTACTACGTGTTGAATATCCACGCGTTGGATAACTACGCGTTATCCGAAACTGACGTTCTCGCATCTGCGCATGCGTAATCCTCGTGCTCTGATTGGTCCGCGTTTTTCCTTAACAATTCAAAAACTAAGCTTCGAACTTCATTTTCGCAAAGGGAAATCGTATTCAGAATCACGTCAGTTACCCCTCATTTCAAAGACCTACACTAGTTCTGAGGCACCCTGTATAAATCCTGTTAATTATAACAAAAGTTAATGTTTATGTTCAAACCTTCAAAATTATTCACAGATTTTGACCCATCGAGTTTATCGAATATCCTGCGACAATTTGTTGAATTTCATCTAATTTTTTGATGTCAAGTTTAATACTTTTTTTGTCAAGTTTAACTATTGCAATTTATTCAAATTATATTGACTGATATTTTTAAAATTTATTCACACTGATTGCTACCCTTGAGATTTATTTAAATAACTAGTTATATATAAATTGATAAATGGATGAAATTCGAACTATATTGATTAATGACGAAACGATAATGATTAAAGTTCGAAGAAATGTTTGCAGTTTCAATACACGACCGATCAAAATCAAAGTCATCGAATTAAATGAAACGCCACGATAGGAGAGAACGTCGTCACCTTGCCACGTTATTGCACCATGGGGAACTGTTAACGAACAAATCAACGGGAAACAGGGATTCGAGCAAGGATGTTCATAAATCTGTTCGATTTATTGCCTCGTGGCGCCGGCAACGATCGTTCTCATCGAACACGATTGATTCTGGCTGGCTGCATTCTCTCTTTTTCTCTCTCTGCCGCACTCGCTATTTATCTGCCAGAAGAAAACAAAATATTCGAAGATCCGCGTAAAAACTGGTAATTTAAGTTGGTCGGGTTCTATGGACGATCTTTAACCCTTTCCTTACGAAACATTTTGCAATATTATTGCAACGTGATTTTTGCAAATTATTTATTTAAGAAATTCAATTATTTTGGAAACAAAGAAATTTTATGGGGTCATTGATAAATTGATAACATGCATAATTAAATAATTAAAATTTGTTTTTTAAGGAAATATAATTTACAAAATTAATTACAGTAAGTAGAATTAATGGTGTAACTTAGACAATTATTATTACACATGTATCATATGTGGGATTTTAATACCAGTATGTAATTTTAATCAAAATAAAAGGATGATTACAATTCGTTTTTTATAAGAAAGATGATCTACAAAATCAAATACAGTGATAACTTATAAAATTGTAACTTATGCAAGGAATTATTACATATGTGTCATATGTGATATCTTCAATTTTCAAAGCATGTGATTAATGTTCTTTTTTTATGACATAAGGGATATGAATTACAAAATCAATTAAATACAGTGATGAGCAAAGTTGAACATCAATAGTGTAACATATGTAGACAATGTATCATATGTGATATTTTCAATCTTCTATACAAAATCAATTATATTGATACATAATTTTGAGCAAACATAAAAAAGCATGTGATTAATGTTCTTTTTTTATGACATAAGGGATATGAATTACAAAATTAATTAAATACAGTGATGAGTAGAGTTGAATATCAATAGTGTAACATATGTAGACAATTATTATTACATGTGTATCATATGTGACTTTTTAAAGTTTCTATACATAATCAATAATGTAGATACATAACTTTAGTCAACATAAAAAGAACAATAACATACTTTTTTATAGCATGAAAAATATTATTATCAAAATTAGTGAAGTACAGTGTTAATAAACTTGCCTAGAAAATTACTCATATGTTACATATGACATAATCTTGAATTTACTGTACTATACTAAAATTACAAACCTGACAAATTGATAACATAATCATTTGAAAACCTTGCAGATATCTAAAAATTGAACATGAATGCATCACTGAATCCTGCATTAATGCATAAATAAATAATCTTGAAAAATTAAAAGTTAACATCTAATGTAGTTTACTCTGTAACTATAAAGTGCCGACAGTAATGAAAGGGTTAAAAACGATCATTAAATTGTAACAAGGTTGTCTTCGAAAATCTTCTTCGAGTATCTTCAATATCTTCTTCTGCTAAGAAAAATCGCAGAGTTAATATGTTCCACGATTCGTGGGTCACCGGTGGCCCACCGTTTAAAAAGTAACAATTTTTCGTTAAGAGAATATTCGTCGACTCGATCTACGATTTCTAATAAAATAATGAGATGTTTCTGAGACAGCTCGTTTTAAAAATCTTCTAATTCTACGCGACACAGAACGTATTAAGAACAGCCTCAAGGATAAATCTATCATCGAGCTAATCGTCTATCTATACGCATACATGCTAAACAATTAAAAATGTAACATTAATAGAAACGATGATATACAACTAATTACGACAATTAAAAAAGAGAAAAAAAAAAATATAATAAGAACGAAGAATAATTACATTCTGCAGTGTATGTCTGTTGATCGTTTTCAGTTTTATTCGTTCTCTCTCATCCGCAGGATTTACTAATTATCGTTAAGTAACTATTATATTTCATTGAAAAATAAGGACACGTTCACGTCTTTCCCTTCTTTATTACTTTCGCGCCCCCTTCGCCTCTCACTCCTGATGCATGCAAATTCTCGTTTGGTTGATTTCTTTTTTAACACGTTGACCCTTCAGGTCCTCAAACTTCATAATTTTAGAAAATTTCCAAAAATTATATTTTAACACACACTTTTAGAAAATATGTTATTTCAGAAAATTTCAAAAACTTCACAAAATTTTGCATAAATAATTATAATTACAGTGTGTCTCACACACGTCTTTTTAATTCAATGAATTAATATGATATAACAGAAACCAATAAAAATATACGAAATCACTAAAAAATACAAAACAGTGAAAAATTAAATTTCAACTGCAATCGATTAAATTTGATAGCCAGTAGTCAACGTGTTACCCTCTGTACCCCACAATAGTCACGATTTTAATCCTATACCGCGTTATTTTCAATCGAACGCGACAATTAGGTGCATTTAATTATGAGGTTGAAGAGCTCTAAGCATGGGTGCGATATTAATATTCTTTGCGTTCCATTCGATTCGTAGGATTAATTAAAACGTGTCAAGTGTTAGTGGTTAAGAGAGATTGTGGGTCACAGGGGTGGAATAAAACAGGAGGGAAATAGCTGTCGCGAAAAATCGTCACCGAGAATTTCGAAGGCTCTTGTCTCAATTCGAGCATCATTATGGAAAGCTTTTCTTTCTTCGTTCAACGAGAGTTAACTGATATTGAAATAATCGTCCATTTTTCTGCGCTGACTTGACGGAAATTTTAACAAAAAAAAAATGTTAACAATGTTAAAATATTAGCAAAGTTTAAACGTCAATTAGGTTAAGTAGTTGTTTAAAAGTAAATTAGGTTAGGTAAATTGTGAACAGCTAAATCCATGAAATAACTTCGACAAAATTATTTTAAAATAATGTCAAATTATTCATCAACAGATTTGATCAATTTTGACAAGAAATATTTAAGATCGTTTGCAATAAACTAACAGAACAATTTCAGGAAGATACTTTACTGACAAAGTTATTATTAATGAAGTAACAGTGTATTAGGAAGGAAAGAAGTTCCGTCGAGTTCCGGCGCGCGAAATGGCGTCGACCAACAAAATGGCGTCTAGTGAACGAAAGGAACAGTCTCAAACTCGTGTCGACTGCAAGTCGATTAAAAATCTTGCAGCTTCGAAAACGCTCGCAGTCGCTGGAAAAAGACAAGGATCCAAGGATCCTCTACGATATGGCTCGATTTTTACAAGTTTAACTGAAAAATGCAAAAGTACAGTGATCTACTCTATTTCTTAAAATGATCGCAATTTGTGCTGTAAAAACGTATCCTCGTCGCGCGTAAATTCTTATAAAAAATCAAGTAAAAATCCTTGCAACACCTTGCGATACTTTTATTCGAATAAATGCAGAATTTTCTGTTTGAAAATTTTGATTCACAGGTTGAAAATTACGAAATTATGAGCAACGAATAACTATGAGTAATATTAAATAACAATGTTATAATATTAAATAACAGTGTTATAATATTAAATAACAGTGTTATAATATTAAATAACAATGTTATATCAAATAAGAAGGTTACATAAAAAAATTGAAGACCGAAAATTAGAATTGAACTCGCAAGGTGTCACAGTTCCTCTAAAAAAAAAGAGCAAAACACAAAATAAATACATCGAAAGATAAAGATCGCCTAAAAAAGGATACAAGGAGAAAAAAAATGAAAAGTTTTCGAAAAGCAACAGCTAGCCGCGGTGATCGTCGGAAAAACGGAGGCTGATGGGAAAAGAAGAAAGGAAGAGAAACAATGAATTCCAAAAGGAACGATTCGGTAAAGGGGGGTCTCTCGCTAAGGACGGCATGTGAAAAGCAAAAGGGAAAAAAAAGAGAAGCAGAATGAAAGGCAAAGAACACAAGGCGGATTCCGAACGCATCCTCCAACGACCGCATACGGCGTATACAATATTCAAAAGTGCGTACAAATATATACATGTAGATATATATCTATATATACGTGTGTATAGATTGTTACAAACATGATAAAAGGAAGGTACACAAAATGAAGCCGGCCGCGTGTGTGGGCGGTCGTCATCGATAAAAATCAACCAAAAAATATTCACGTGTGTAAAAATACCGACGCTTCTATTTATCTATCTATCTATTTATCTACCTATCATTTCCATTCCCTCTTTCTCTCTCTCTCTCTCTCGTCGATCCGATCACCTTCGAAAAACCAACTTTCCGAGCATCCTTCCGCCTCGACGAAATCCATCATCGTCCCTTACCGAGGTAACTTCCGTTCGCCAGCTTCGGATGGTAAAAGCAAGAATTCCATAGAGCTTCGTGACTCGTACACGCTCGAACCGTCTTTTCATTCCTCTCCGCTCGACGAGACTGGCGCTCACCGAACTCGCCTCGCTGGTTTCGCCCGAGCGACCATTCGTCGTTGGAAAAAACAACGCGACGAAGCGATTAATCTGCTCGTTTCCGGTATCCTCGCCGTGCCGAGAAGGGAACGCGTGACCACGAAAAAAGAGGCACGACAATCAGGACGAACTTACGTGAACGCGATGTTGCACGACAGGTTGATCGGCCACGTTCCTCGTTCGGGGAGAATCGCGATGATCCGCGAGGACGAGATCGATCCTATGTTCTTCCTTCCGCGTTCTCTCCGTTTCTTTTTTCTCCTCTTGCTGCTGCTGCTGTTACTGGTCAATGTTTACTCGGCGGGGGGTTTACGGGAGATTTTTCGTTAGCGGGTGTGTCGGTTGGTCGATACGTCTCAGCCGAGACCGGCCCATTGCATGAAGTCCGGAACCTCCCTGACAGGAACATCCCTGGCCAATGCCTTCACCCTCAGGTTCCTGTCCTCTGTCAATAGGACCACTTCTCTTCGGAGACGTCGCGGCTGACCTTCTTCTGCGTCAAAAGTATCGATTTCGTTAGATTTGCAAGCTCTTTTTAAGCTTGCTGAAAGAAGCCTTCGAACTGAGAATTTTTTTTCAGACCCTGGTAATTGAGACTCATTAATTCTAACAAAATTTCATGACATAAAAGTTGCTCAAAATGGTACATGTAGCATATCAATTTAAAGCTTGAAGCTTAATAAAATAGACCAGATAGGTGCCCCATCAAGATTTTAAAAAGAAAATGTCTGACACTGAGGTATAACAAAGAATGAATAATTTTGATATACATATAATTCAACAAAATTTTCATGACATAAAAGTATCTCAAAATGGCACATGTAGCACATCAATTTAAAGCTTGAAGCTTAATAAAAAGGACCAGATAAGTGCCCCATCAAGATTTTAAGCAGAGAGTAACTGGAATTGACGTGTGACAAAGAATGACTAACTTGAATATATCTATAGTCCAATAAAATTTCATGACATAAAAGTATCTCAAAATGGTACATGTAGCACATCAATTTAAAGCTTGAAGCTTAATAAAATAGACCAGATAGGTGCCCCATCAAGATTTTAAGCAGAGAGTAACTGGAATTGACGTGTGACAAAGAATGACTAACTTGAATATATTTATAATCAAATAAAATTTTCATGACATAAAAGTATCTCAAAATGGTACATGTAGCACATCAATTTAAAGCTTGAAGCTTAATAAAAAGGACCAGATAAGTGCCCCATCAAGATTTTAAGCAGAGAGTAACTGGAATTGACGTGTGACAAAGAATGACTAACTTGAATATATTTATAATCAAATAAAATTTTCATGACATAAAAGTATCTCAAAATGGCACATGTAGCACATCAATGTAAAGCTTGAAACTTAATAAAAAAGACCTGATAGGTGCCCCTTCGAGATTTTAAGCAGAGAGTAACTGGCATTGAGGTGTGACAAAGAATGACTAACTTGAATATATCTATAGTCCAATAAAATTTCATGACATAAAAGTAGCTCAAAATAGCATATGTAACACATCAATTTGAAGCTTGAAGCTTAATAAAAAAGACTAGATAAGTGCCCCATCGAGATTTTGAACACAGAGTGACTGATTCCAAATTATGACAAAGAATGACTAATTTAGATGTATATGTAAAGTTTAAAGTTTAACAAAAAGAAATAGATAAACCCTTCATGAATATTTTAAAATGAAAGTGACAGCAAGTTACATCAGAGTGACTAATTTTGAAATATAGATCAACCTAAAATAAAAAGGAATTCTTGAAATTTCAAAGTTGATCAAACGAAAGAGAAATTCGTCCATTACGTAAACAGGTAAAGTTAAAATTGGAAAATTAAATATCTATACGGCCGATAATTATTCTCACAGCATACGTTGCCACATAATCCATTTTCACGGTATCAGTGAACGTGTTAATAATCCGTATTATCGCGTGGCATAGACGGCCACCGTTAGCAGTCGGTACAATTAACACTCGGATCCTCCAGGAAGAGTTCAAGCGTGGAAAAGCAAATCGCTTCTTTCAGCAACCAGTCTCGGTGTAAAGAGTGGGGAAAAAAGAGGAGCGAACTAACAAAACTATCTCCTGTAAGGGACGTACATAATTTAACCGGCAATACGGTTTCAATTAGCCGGCCGGCTTCTAATGAAACCGATTTCACTAGGTGTCGGTCCCACGAACGGGAGGAGCGGGCAAATAATTAGTAGCCTGCTCGCTAATAAATTCCCGGCTGATAAGGAACGGTAAAAGTTACACGCGCTCGATCACGACAAGACTCGCGAGCGTGCACTGGCCACGCCGATAACGGTTAATCTCCGAGCGAAACGAGCGCCACGATCAACTCTCCGTGTATTAATCGCTATCAGCCCCGTGGAAAACGTTGAAACGTGTTCAGGATACATCTCCACACGGAGAAATACGAGGTTCGTATACGTACCTGCATTCGCTTGATCTTTGTTGGCCGCCTTGCAAAGGCTCAAGCACGTAGCCAGTATTCTGTCATCGTTTCTTGTCAGCCCGTCCTGCAACAGAATTACAGATGCTCGCCTTATTACTTCTACCCAAATGACACGCTTATCGTGGGAATTTCAATGAAATCCGTCGCTTCTTCCACCACGGTTTAATAGCGTTCCACTCGATTTGCGTTCACCGTACGCCATTTTTAATCGCGACGGTATCACTCGATTGCTGAATGGATCTACCGTTATCGCGGACACGTATAAGTACTTACACGAGTATCTGTAATGGACGAGTGTCTAATATGGTCTCGCTGGGAAAAATGAAAATTCTGCGATATTCTATACTTGGAAACAGAAATCAACTTGGAATTCTTGCTTTGGATATTAGACATGATGTACAAAGTGAATGGGAAAAAGAAATTATTTTTTATCTTCACACATGTTGTACAACTTTAAGAAAAGGTACCTTAATAATTTCTATAATTTGTAACAAAAAATCCTTGTGCTAAGTCTACTGTTAAGATATGTGGAGAACAACATATGCAAAAAAACAATACATATGTCATATGAGGGAAAAAATAGATATTTCATATGTGGAAAACAATGCATATTCCATATGTGAAAAACAGTGCATGTCCTATATGTAGGAATCAATACATGTACCATATGTGAAAAGCAACACATGTCCCATGTGTGGATAACAACATATATGCTCATATGTGCAAACCAACATAAATATGTCTCACATGTGGAAAACAACACATATGTCACATGTGGGAAACAAGACATATCTCATATGTGAGAAACAACACATATCCCATATGTGAAAAAACAACACATATGTCATATGTGGAAAACAACACATATCCCATATGTGAAAAACAGTGAATATCCTATATCTGGAAAACCGAATATCCCATATGTGAAAAACAGTGAATATCCTATATGTGGAAAACCGAATATACCATATGTGAAAAACAGTGAATGTCCTATATCTGGAAAACCGAATATCCCATATGTGGAAAACTAGGAATATCCTATATGTGGAAAACCGAATATCCCATATGTAAAAAACAGTGAATATTCCATATGTGGAAAACCGAATATCGCACATGTGAAAAACAGTGAATATCCTATATGTGAAAAATAGTGAATATCCCATATGTGAAAAATAGTGAATGTCCTATATGTAGAAAACCGAATATCCCATATGTGGAAAACTAGGAATATCACACACACGGAAAAAGTAAAATTTGAATAAGCGAATGAATGGTGGAATTCGGATAAGAGTCGGTTAGAAGAATAAATGGACAGCATATGGATCGAGCAGTGTTCATTGAAGCGCGAACGTTATGATAAGAGGGGTCGAGCAAACGTAAGAGAACCCCCCACGTGGTGCACAGATAAATTCTTCTCGCGGTGTGGTAACTTCTGGTGCGGCACGCATCTCGCTCTGACGCTTATCTCTCCGGTAACACGCATGGTACACGGATAGGATAGGATCGTAACAGGAACCTCGATCTGTCAAATAATAGATAACGAGCGCTGCGAGCTTGTTTCATTTTACTCCGTACACCTTGGCAGCCTCTTCCTCGTCGCTTTTTCATCTCGTACCTTCTGCGTTTGATTCGTTCACCTGGTGTAATTTACTTTTGCTGGTGTGCTTCGGTTGTGCACGTTCTTGTGTTCTTTGTTTTTGCGCTGCGGTTTTAATGAAGTTCCACGGAAATTCATTTCTGCATGTGGATCACATGCACTGGTGAGGTTTGTTAAGAGAGATTTTGTAGTTTTGTTATTTTATAGGTTTTTGGGATTTTCGGAGGTTGTATTTTAGAAACATGAAATTTTTCACGTTATCAAATTCCCATATTCCCCAATTCCCACATTTCCCAATTCCCACATTCCCCAATTCCAATATTTCCCAATTCCCACATTCCCCAATTCCCACATTCCCCAATTCCCACATTCCCCAATTCCCACATTCCCCAATTCCAATATTTCCCAATTCCCACATTCCCCAATTCCCACATACTCCAATTCCCACATATCCCAAATCCCACATATCCCAAATCCCACATATCCCGAATCCCACATATCTCGAATCCCACATATCCCGAATCCCACATATCCCGAATCTCACATATTCCAATTCCTATATCCCGAATCCCACATATCCCGAATCCCACATATCCCGAATCCCACATATCCCGAATCCCACATATCCCGAATCCCACATATCCCGAATCCCACATATCCCGAATCCCACATATCCCGAATCCCACATATCCCGAATCCCACATATCCCGAATCCCACATATCCCGAATCCCACATATCCCGAATCCCACATATCCCGAATCCCACATATCCCGAATCCCACATATCCCGAATCCCACATATCCCGAATCCCACATATCCCGAATCCCACATATCCCAATTTCTACATCCCCAAATTCTCACATTCCCCAATTCCCACATTCCCCAATTCCCACATTACCCAACTCCCACATTCCCCAATTCCCACATTCCCCAACTCCCACATTCCCCAATTTCTCAAATTTCTACAACCAAAATATGATATTCCAAATTCTAATTTACCTTATCAACATCCTCTTCGACAGTGAACGTGCTAGAAGTAAGAACAGTTCCTCTGGTGGTTAAGCATCTGATCGCTGGGTTTCTGCTTCTAGCGAAGGCCAGTGCCGCTTTTGCACTCTCTGCTACCCTTGCCACATGCTCTGGGTCCAAAGTCGCCCTGGAAACTGGGGGACAATCTCTGGCATCGGCTCCCCTTGCTAGACCCTCCAGCTCGTTCAGAACTGCAACAAAAATATCAACATTCTATCAGTTCTTCACTCAAAATAGTATTCCTTACTAATAACATTTATTTATAGCCTTGATTTTCAACCCTTTATTCTTGGTTATTCTCTCTGAGGACAAATTACAAAATAAATCTCAGTCTGCAAAGAGTTAAAACTAGACTTGTATGTCAACGTGTCATATGAAATTGCAAGACATATGTGTACATATAATTTAACAAATTTTGTCATCTATAATAAGAAACTTGTTAATTGCTATTGAATGTTATTTAATTTCTTATTCAACTTTCACCCTTATAAAATGGAAGGGTTTTAAGAAACCGTGTTATTTATTAAACTACATATTCCTTTGGACGTATGATCTCTTCTATACCCTACCGTTTCTGCAAAATGAAATAAACTGCAAGTCAAATAGATTCAATTTATAATAATCTATATTCATAATCCATGGCACTAATAACAAACTAATAAATAATTCTTACCACCCTACAAAAAATACCCTCATTCACAACATCTCCTCAGACCACGTTCAAAAATATCAAATTTAAATTTCATTCGATTCTGAATAAAAACAAAATATTAATATTAATATAATCATGCACTTGCGTATGCCACCCTGCATCAGTATAATACTGTTTTGTCAGAATGAAAATATCCCTTGATTAAACTCCGCGAGAACCAAGGTTGTTTCGCTTATTCGATGGAATAATACATGGAGTGATATCGTTGGAAGCTCGGGGTGATTTACCACTTGATTTAAGGCAATAGGGCGGAGTAATTCCCACGGGAGGGGGTGAAAGTTTTTTCATCGGTGGCGTTGCTCAGGGAAAATGAGCGAGCCGACGCGGAATTTCAACGAAGAGCCCTTTAATAGTGTTTACTCGGACTTTGTCAACCCCGCTGCGTAAATCTACCACTAACGAACTTTTCTCCCGCGGAATAAACAGCGAGAACAGAGTGCTACGAGTTCGTGATACTGCGCTGAAAGATTGATGATTTATACCGTGAGAAAGTTTGCGACTCTGCGTGGAAATATTGTCCTCGGGGTGAAATAATATATGCTTAATAAGGCTTTTCGTTTGCGATTTCGGGGTAATTTTGGTGAAGAGTTTTCTGCTGTTTCCAGGTTCAAATTTGCAAGCTTTTAAATGTTTGTGCGAGCAAAATTTTAGAATGCATTTTTGGATGTTTTTGTTCTGGAGTTTTAAATATTTTGATATTTGCATTTTAGGATTTTTTAATTTTTGGATGATTGAAGTTTTAGAATTTTCGAATTTTTAGATGTTCAAGTTAAATAGTGTCACACATTCTCATTCCTACATTCGCCAATTCCAACATTCCCAGTTCCCACATTCCCCAATTCCAACATTCCCAGTTCCCATATTCCCCAATTCCAACATTCTCAATTCGGGTTGTTTCGCTTATTCGATGGAATAATACATGGAGTGATATCGTTGGAAGCTCGGGGTGATTTACCACTTGATTTAAGGCAATAGGGCGGAGTAATTCCCACGGGAGGGGGTGAAAGTTTTTTCATCGGTGGCGTTGCTCAGGGAAAATGAGCGAGCCGACGCGGAATTTCAACGAAGAGCCCTTTAATAGTGTTTACTCGGACTTTGTCAACCCCGCTGCGTAAATCTACCACTAACGAACTTTTCTCCCGCGGAATAAACAGCGAGAACAGAGTGCTACGAGTTCGTGATACTGCGCTGAAAGATTGATGATTTATACCGTGAGAAAGTTTGCGACTCTGCGTGGAAATATTGTCCTCGGGGTGAAATAATATATGCTTAATAAGGCTTTTCGTTTGCGATTTCGGGGTAATTTTGGTGAAGAGTTTTCTGCTGTTTCCAGGTTCAAATTTGCAAGCTTTTAAATGTTTGTGCGAGCAAAATTTTAGAATGCATTTTTGGATGTTTTTGTTCTGGAGTTTTAAATATTTTGATATTTGCATTTTAGGATTTTTTAATTTTTGGATGATTGAAGTTTTAGAATTTTCGAATTTTTAGATGTTCAAGTTAAATAGTGTCACACATTCTCATTCCTACATTCGCCAATTCCAACATTCCCAGTTCCCATATTCCCCAATTCCACATTCCCCAATTCCCACGTTCTCCAATTCCCACATTCCCCAATTCTCACATTCCCCAATTCCAACATTCCCCAATTTCTCACACCCCAGATTCTCTAATCCTCAAATTCTCAAGCTCTCAAATCCTCAAATTTCCAAATTCTCACATTCTCCAATTCCTATATTCTCCAATTCCCACATTCCCCAACTCCCACATTTCCCAATTCCAACATTCAGCAATTCTAACATTCCCCAATTTCAACATTCCCCAATTGCAACATTTCCTATTCCCAAATTCCCCAATTCTAACATTCCCAATTCCCACAATCCTCAATTCCCACATTCCTCAATTCTCACAGTTCCCAATTCCCACATTTCTCAATTCCACATTCCCCAATTCCACATTCCCCAACTCCAACATTCCCCAATTCCCACATTCCCCAATTCTAAGACTCCAAATTCTCACATCCCCAATTTCTCAATGTTCCACCCCTTCAACTTTCCACTCCTTCCCAAAACTGAAAATTTTCAACCTTGACGCCTTCCATATGCAACCTTGAATTCCAATAAATTTAAAAATGTCCAATATCCAAAAATACCCAGTAAAAGTAACACTTCCATAGAACATCGTTTTATACACCTGCAAACAATATCCAATACATTTTCCTCCGGACCTCTGCCATTTAGAAAATGATTTTCCATCGACATTTCTCGAGACTCTTCGGTTCGCTGATCAAACATAGCCAGCTCTTTCTGGACCAGTAAATCCCGAAGGAGTTCTCGAAAATCCATTTCTCGAAATAGAGATCGCCTAACATCGAGAATTATGGATGAGATTCTATTCTTTCCGAACCGAGGAACGAACGAATCTCCGAGGATCTCGAATAAGAATTGACGGATTAATAAACAATGATCGGACAACTTTCGACGTGCTTGAGAAATGCCACACTTCGATTGCAAGATATTTTATGCCGCGATATTTTTGTTTGCGGTGACTGATCGATCACTGAAAGACAGTACGTGTTTACGGGCTAAATTGGACTGTTTTGATGACCGAAATTTTTGCTATATTTGTCGAAATCGATGTTGTGAAATTCGCGTTTATGAGCTGGGAATTTATTACTGATCGTTTGTAACTGATTATAAACAGTTTGAAGACAAAATAAAATAAATTGTTTAAAATAAATTAGGCTTAATAGATAGCTACAAGTAAATATGGATCTGTAATTGAAAATTCCCAATGTAGTTTTAATTTTTTTTATTAAAAATGCACAGTAATAAAACTAGCAATGCAATTTATCTTTTTCAACTGTCTAATTTGATTTATTCATCATAAAATTATTATAAAATTTGTCTATTTGTTATGAAACAGTAAATTGTCTATTCTTAATACAATAGCAAATAAAATATTTCAAACTATGATATTTTATTTGACTTACTTAAAGATTTACTTAAAAATTAAACAAATAAATTAAGTAAATAATAATGTACTAAAATTTGCTTCCTTTACTTAATTAAATTAGTTGATTTATCTTCCTTGAACAAGATGAGATCACATGATCTTGAAGACGCCATCTTGAACACACCATTAGCTAAGCGCGCGAAATTCAAACACAGTTAAGTCATCCGCGCAAGACATCAATCCCAAATAACAGTAACTTTCCTAATTTTAAAAATAAGTGGACCATTTCATTTATTTTTTATAAACCAATATATTATTATTCATCCTAAAACAATAAATAAAATAGTAACCGTGATATTATGCTTAAACAAATCCATCAAAGAACCTACATAAAAATGAAACAAGCTAAACAATCAGCCTTTTATCCACACCTAAATGTTTCATTTTCTTCGACCATATACTTCCTATTTTTTCCAAATTTTAAACACCGCATTTCATGTCGGGACAGTGGACGACGTTTAATAATCAGGGAGCAAAGTCGCGTCGCACAGAGGAACAATTTTAGAGTGTCTCTGACAAGCGGTAATTGGACTGTCGACTGCTGGAAATACGTGACAGGATTCCACGCATTTCTCCGCGCCGTTCGCAACCGGATTTTAAATAAAACAATTCCAGTTCGAGCTCGCGAATTTTATTACGAGCCGACACTGTGTCGCAAGAATTTCAAAGCTCGCGTCCGGTTACGTGTCGCGATACGCAAAACTATGGACTTTGCCTTTAATTAATCCTCGGTCGAACGACTACATCGTTAATTAATCCTCTGCTGTTGTTCCCGATCAAACATTTACGGTTTCACGACGAAATGCGCCTGCACAACAATTTACATTCATGGTGGACCGTGGACTCTTTGCTGAACAATGTGGATCAGCTTTTCTGATCAACTATTTCCGTAAGCTATTTCGATCTGCTACTTTAATAAACAATTTCGATGAGCTGTTTTGATGAACTATTTCGGAAAGCAAGTTTGACAAACAGTTTCGATCTGCTACTTTTAATAAACAATTTCGATCAGGTGTTTTGATGAACTATTTCTATGAGCAAGTTTGACGAACATTTTCAATCAGCTGTTTTGATGAACTATTTCTATGAGCAAGTTTGACAGACATTTTCGATCAGCTGTTTTGATGAACTATTTCGGAAAGCAAGTTTGACAAACAGTTTCGATCTGCTACTTTTAATAAACAATTTCGATCAGGTGTTTTAATGAACAATTTCGATGAGCAAGTTTGACAAACAATTTCAAATCTGCTGCTTTTAATAAACAATTTCGATCAGGTGTTTTAATGAACTATTTCTATGAGCAAGTTTGACAAACAATTTCGATCAGCTGTTTTGATGAACTATTTTTTTGAGCAAGTTTGACAAACAATTTCGATCAGCTGTTCTGATGAACTATTTCGGAAAGCAAGTTTGACAAACAATTTTGAAAACAACAAGAAAAATGATCAAATACATCAATGAACTATT